TCATTATAAAGAAAATGACATATAATACTAAAATAAGTACCAAAATTTTACATGGATAACTCAAGTTTTTTTTTTTTTTTTTTTTTGGATTGAAGAGACGTTACTTAATAAACATATTTATATATAATCCACTACCATTAGAAAATTCAGAAAAAATCTAATTTAGTTGTTTTTCTCCTCCTTTTGTGTACAGTGATATCTCAGTTTTTGTCAATAATCCATCCGAAAACAAAGAAAAATCTGAGGCAATTATTTCCATATGAATTCATGCAAATCCAATTAATTCGTTGTAGACACTCCAAAATATATACCAAAAACACATTTTATAGAGAATAAATAGAGTGTTTAATACTAAAAACAATAAGAAATTAATGCAAAATGAATATAAAAGACTAATGTAGAAAATAAATGAACATTTAACATAAATGGAAAGGGAAGCAATAGAATTGTTTGGCTAGATGTGCAAACTAATGCTCACACAACATGAAACAATGGCATGCCAAGAAGGAAAACGCATGGGTCACCCTTCCTTTTTGCAAAATTAGAAGCGAGAGACACCAATGAAAACTGAGGCAATTTTTTTTTTTTTTTTGTTTTGGAAAAAATCTACAAAAACCAAAACCAACGATAACCAAGATATTACTGTATTTGTAATTTTGCTTTTCTAAATTATTTGTTGCAGACTTTTTAATTGTAATTTTTCTGATGAATCTGAAAAATTTTTTTTGCCAACAGTTCAGCCATACTGCGCTTGTTTTAATGAAATAAAACTTCTTACTGTATTATATATAAATTTATAGCTTCTGGAAAGAACTGATCATCACATTTGTCAGATGTGTTCATGTTGTTTACCTATCCAACTGACTACTACTAATAATTTAGAATCAAACAAACATATAATTACAATACGTAATTTGTTAGAATCTAAACAGATGAATAAATGATCTATTAAATGGGGGATTTCCCACCCACCCTGAGAATTGTCAACCCCCCTGTATCGACGCCTAAATTATGTCGCTGACATTAAAACTGTGGACTAGACCGAATATCAAATGTTACATTAACTTTTAGATTCTGTATTTACATAAATTGCAATTAAAACTTTAAATTTCAATCAACGTAAAGAGAAAAGGTACGTTTTATTGTTATTTCAAACACAAATGAATAGTTTGAACTCGCTCGCGACATATAAAAATCGATATTAAACAATATAATAAATGTTTCAAGACTATTCATTCGCTTAATAAAATAACCCTACTATTTCCTTACCTGAAGGTGGCTTCGGCAGATCCATTATAATACGATTTTACGAATTGTTTTAAAATTTCCTTCACGTTAACAAATATTATCCGCCATTTTTACAAACGCGGCGATTCCAGACGATCGAGCGGTAGCGCCCTCTGTTGATAAAATTATCGAAAATCTCACGTGAGTTGAAAACGATTTAAATGGAGACGATGGACGACGACGAATTGGAAGAAGTGAGTTATTTACTAAGGTTTTTCGCGTTATTCTCTTACGAATAAGTCGATGACAGCTCGTTTAATGTCTATAATTGTTTATTTTGTGTAGCATAAAGGGAAATAATTAATAATTTATAGTTATTTTCGGGTAATTTGTCATTCATAATTTAAGNAATTATTTCCATATGAATTCATGCAAATCCAATTAATTCGTTGTAGACACTCCAAAATATATACCAAAAACACATTTTATAGAGAATAAATAGAGTGTTTAATACTAAAAACAATAAGAAATTAATGCAAAATGAATATAAAAGACTAATGTAGAAAATAAATGAACATTTAACATAAATGGAAAGGGAAGCAATAGAATTGTTTGGCTAGATGTGCAAACTAATGCTCACACAACATGAAACAATGGCATGCCAAGAAGGAAAACGCATGGGTCACCCTTCCTTTTTGCAAAATTAGAAGCGAGAGACACCAATGAAAACTGAGGCAATTTTTTTTTTTTTTTTGTTTTGGAAAAAATCTACAAAAACCAAAACCAACGATAACCAAGATATTACTGTATTTGTAATTTTGCTTTTCTAAATTATTTGTTGCAGACTTTTTAATTGTAATTTTTCTGATGAATCTGAAAAATTTTTTTTGCCAACAGTTCAGCCATACTGCGCTTGTTTTAATGAAATAAAACTTCTTACTGTATTATATATAAATTTATAGCTTCTGGAAAGAACTGATCATCACATTTGTCAGATGTGTTCATGTTGTTTACCTATCCAACTGACTACTACTAATAATTTAGAATCAAACAAACATATAATTACAATACGTAATTTGTTAGAATCTAAACAGATGAATAAATGATCTATTAAATGGGGGATTTCCCACCCACCCTGAGAATTGTCAACCCCCCTGTATCGACGCCTAAATTATGTCGCTGACATTAAAACTGTGGACTAGACCGAATATCAAATGTTACATTAACTTTTAGATTCTGTATTTACATAAATTGCAATTAAAACTTTAAATTTCAATCAACGTAAAGAGAAAAGGTACGTTTTATTGTTATTTCAAACACAAATGAATAGTTTGAACTCGCTCGCGACATATAAAAATCGATATTAAACAATATAATAAATGTTTCAAGACTATTCATTCGCTTAATAAAATAACCCTACTATTTCCTTACCTGAAGGTGGCTTCGGCAGATCCATTATAATACGATTTTACGAATTGTTTTAAAATTTCTTTCACGTTAACAAATATTATCCGCCATTTTTACAAACGCGGCGATTCCAGACGATCGAGCGGTAGCGCCCTCTGTTGATAAAATTATCGAAAATCTCACGTGAGTTGAAAACGATTTAAATGGAGACGATGGACGACGACGAATTGGAAGAAGTGAGTTATTTACTAAGGTTTTTCGCGTTATTCTCTTACGAATAAGTCGATGACAGCTCGTTTAATGTCTATAATTGTTTATTTTGTGTAGCATAAAGGGAAATAATTAATAATTTATAGTTATTTTCGGGTAATTTGTCATTCATAATTTAAGCATCTGTTTTGATTCTCGGCTGCATCACGTGCGAAGTTCAAAATTAGAAAATAATTTACTAAGCCTATTTTCGAGGTGTTAAATGCATTAAAGTCTTTTGTTTATTAATAATTTAATAAATTCGTTATGTAATTCATTTATTTCGTTCATTTTGCTTATCTTTCGGTCTGTTTGAAATGGCGATAGCAGACGACAAATTTAAACATCGCTGATTATTATTTATTATCCGTATAATTGCAAATTGTTTTTTTCGAAATTTACGTGTATTTTTTATTTAATTAATTTTTACTAAAGATATTTCTTGGTCGAAATATTTTAAAATTTTTATTATTTTGTAAATTTCTTCTTTTCGCTGTAGGAATTATGGGATTGTTTTTTAAATGTCCAATTCGAAAATTTGAATTTTTGAATTTCTCGTGCGATTAAAATTTATAATAATCGTGTTTTATTTGTAAATGTGTTAATATTTTGTTTGTATTAATAAGGGGGAAGTAATATTATAAACATTTTAATCTTTAATTAATTTTAAAGTTCTATTTTCTGAGAACTTTAGATTTTATTTAAAAAAAAAAAGTTTACTTACAGAAATAGAGATTTATTCAAATACAATTGCTGGTTAATGTCCAGGGCAGTTTTGAATTTATATTGGTTATAATTTTCTATTTAAAAGAACACAGAATAGAATAATGAATTCATTGTTAATTTTAATTTCAAATTTAATTATTAAACAATTCTAATTAAGCTTATATTCTTGACATAGAACATTTAAACTAAACTTATTAATGAAAAGATGAGAATAAACTATACATTACTATTAGTACTATACATTATAATAATATATATATTATGTAATAATATATATGTAATAATATATATATTATGTAATAATATATATATACATACATCCATCATATGTGCCATCCCAAGCTATCAAAGTATCAATATATCTGAGATACAATAGAAGGTACTGGATGATGAGCAGAGCTGAGAAAACCCTATTCTCTATCCTCAAAAGTAATTTTGCTAGGATCAACAGAGAGAACCCATTGGTGCACCCTGCTTTTGGAGGTAATATTTGTTATGAAGATATAAATAACTATTCCTGCTTTGATAACAGTATACAAGCAGAGCTTCCTGCATGTTTATTACTTGTTGGGCTATAAAACCTTTTTCAATTAAGAGCATATTGTGGCCAATATGCTCTTAATTGAAAAAGGTTTTATAGCCCTGATACCCCTTAAAATTGGTATCAATGAATACAAGATCACATCAGTTTTGTACAAAGTGTACATGGAAGGATTAAAATTGCTGTGTATTTTTTGTACAAACTGCTTGGCTTGCAAAGATGAGGATGTTACGGTAAGATCTGGCAACACCAGAGAGAGCGCGGCACGTGCGAGACAGACGGCCATGTTTAATGTATGCGAGTGTAGATCGTCCGTTCCGAATAAACCCTGAATAAAGTATACCATGTTTTATATGGTTTTCTTTGTGTTTACGCGCCGTTCGTGACGCGCTTAAGACCCCCAGTAAGACAGGAATGCAAACACTTACTCTGAATACTTTATTCAGGGTTTATTCGGAACGGACGATCTACACTCGCATACATTAAACATGGCCGTCTGTCTTGCACGTGCCGCGCTCTCTCTGGTGTTGCCAGATCTTACCGTAACATGTTCCTTTTTTTTTTCCTTTTACAAATAAAATGAGTAAACACATAAAACTTAAATACATACATATTTACAAATTGAGTCGAACAGGAGCTTTAATGATTCTTCCTGAACTAGTTTTTCTTGTTGGAGTTTGAAAGTCTTTTTCTTTGGAGATTACTCCTTCTTCCTTTTCCTCAGCTTCTTCCTTTCCATTTTCTTGTTTCTCTTCACCTTTCTCTTGAGGTGCTTTTCTGGGGCTGTGATTCGGTTTCAGATGCACTCTGTTTCTTCGGTACTGTTGACCGTGTGAATCTTCTATTAAGTATGATCTGGGTTCATTTAGAGGTTTTACAACAGTTGCCGGAGACCATTCTTTTCCTGTATGCACTAAAACTTGTGTTGACGGTCTCAACGGATTGAGGGGAACACTACCTCTGTCATAATACATTGACATCTTGTTCTGGTTCTGCTCCAGTTGTTGTTGGATATCCTCTCTACGAAATTGGAATTGGTGATAATGGGATGATTTGCATGGAAGTGTTGACCTTATGTTCCTTCCCATGCACAGCTGAGCTGGTGATGGTAA